AAAATAATATAAAAACCATTTTTTATTTTTAATCTATTTTAAAACCTAGCAATTTATTACTATTGAAGAACAATATAAATAAACATATAGAAATGTATTAAAATGTGCGCAATCATTTTCTTTAATCATAAATTTGGATTATTGATTACCATTACGTGCAATACGATTGGGCGCTATTCGATAACTATGATAAAATGGATATTTAAATAAAATATTTCTACTTTGAAGTACATGCATAAAAAATATAACGTAAATATTTCCTACGCAACTTTAAATCAAATTGTCAGGTCATACTTACATTTAGGAATAAGAATATCTTCAAATATAACGAGCAACAGATTATTCTGCTTTGCGGTCACTTTCCCGAACGCCAATCGATAATTTAGTAGAGGCGAATATTAGAACAGGCAGTATTCTTATTCAAAGAAACGTGACAAGCTTAACAAAATACTTGAAGTTCTCTTGTCAAGAAAATTGTAATTGAAATACTGGGAATAAAATATTATGCTTATCTTTAAACTTGCCGGTAAATCCGGCGGATCAAATTGACAAGTGAACTTCCGAAAGTAGTTCCGTATAAACTGTTTCCATGACAGCATTCGCGTAGTGATACATGGAAAATGGATAAACTAAAATAAAAAAATATAAGATAGAACAAAAATACTCAAAAGAAATATTATTGAGTTTAGAATAAGTGAAAGTAGATCTTCTTCTGCTAAGATTACATTTAAATTAAAAATTTTATCATTGATTTATTACAAGAATTAAATATAATCCATATCCTTATCTATAAATAACGATATAATTTTTGTTCCTATCCTTAATTACATTATTTTGTTAAAAATGAAATTAAATAAAGCTTTAACTAAAGCTTAAGCTTAAAGATATAATTAAGAGAAAATAAGATACTTGAAATTGAATCTGCCGCGACTTTATTGATTGGTATATTTTAAGAAGATGACGCTGAAGCTCATGTTTTTAATAGTCCATGGTATTTCCTAACTTCCTGTTTGTAATTTATAGTTTAATCATAAACATCGCTGATGTTAATTGATAATATTTTATACTTTTTCGTTATTTACAATGTCATCTAAAATAACACATGTAATTTTCTATATTTATGTATATGTAATTAAAATATTATAAAAAATGATGAAGACTTTACTGGATTGATGTTATAAATCGCATTAACAGCACTTAACCTCTTGATTTACATTTACATAGTTTTCTTATATTTTCAACTTGTACTTTACTTATTTGTACTTGTAACTTTTTCGATTTAAAATAGAATGTAGAAACACATTCCTAAACATATCAAATGTGGCATATTTATTTTAGATATCTGACACCCTTAGAATTCTTCATTTACCACCAGAACTTCCCGATGAACGGCGTAATGAATTACTTAAAAAATACGGTGCTATTAACACACGAACTTTGAGAATTTCCAAAAAGTACACTATAACTTTTGCAAAATTCCAATCTCAAGAAGCAGCTACAGAGGCACTGTTACGTTTGCATCAATTAAATGTTAGAGGACAGCATTTGACAGTTGAATTTGCTAAAAAGTCTATATCAGTTGAAAATGCAGGAAATGATATTGACAATATTGAATCTACAAAAGAGGAGAATAAGAAGGACTCAACAAATAGATCTAATTTTCAAGTTTTTCTACAAAAGTTAAATAGTTGGACTATGAATCAGGTCTTTACACAACCACCTCCACCAAATATACAATATAAATATTTACCACCAACAAGGGGTACTTTAGTAAGGATAGCCATACAATTATTAAAAGAACCTGTCTTTTACACACAGGTAAATTAATGAAAGTATTATTTAGTACAATAGATTTTTTATTGATATGTTATGTTCATATAGGTTTTACATTTAATGAATAGAATGAATTTACCACCTCCTTTTGAAGAGTTAGAAACAGAATTCCCAGCACTTAAGGAAGTCTATGATATGGAAAAATATAAGGACATATTTGTAAAAGAATATTTATATGATAAACAAAATGAAGGTAATAGAACTGTAATTTTTTTTCTTTTTTGTTAAATGGTATGCTCATATTTAATGTATCATACTCAATAGATGCTTGTAATGAGGATTCAAAAGAGGAAGAAGAATCTGAAATAGAGTCAAGTGAAGAAGATAATGCAAAACCTATGGAAATTATCCCTGTAAAAAGAAAATGCCCCCAGTCTATAAAACGCGCAAAAATTCCAAAGTTTGTTAATCCCAGCAAATATAAGGCACCTGTCAGTTCTACACAAAAGATTGTAAAACCAGAAGATATGTTTGAACAAGTACAACTTGGTGAAACAAAAAATCTTAAAATTGAATTGAAAACAGTGAAAAAATTATTAGATACTTCCAATAAGGAAGATAATACTGATTCTACAAGTACTGTAGATGGTGGTTTTGGATTAATATTTCCAACTTGCAAAACAATTGATACTGCTGAAAATAGTGAAAATAGTGAAAATACTGAATCTGTTCAGCAAGAAGTAATCACATCCGAAAAATTAGCAAGCAACAGAATTTCTGTTAATGGTAAAATCTGTTACCATATTAAGTATACAAAACAATATTTTTATATATGAAAAATAAATTACAAAATAATTTTTGTTTTATTTTACATTGCAGATCAGAGAGTTCTTCCTGTTTTTAAAAATTATCATCCTGGAAAGCCGTCAAATCGTTTGTATATAAAAAATCTTGCAAAACAAGTTGAGGAAAAGGATCTTCATTTTATTTATCGAAAATATGTCGTACCTGAATTACATACAGAATTTCAGTAAGGATCTTCAATTAAGAAGCAACATAACAATTTATTTTGTTATTTATTTAATAATTTATTTGATTTTAGATATGATGTGCGTCTTATGCAAGAGGGTAGAATGAAGGGTCAAGCATTTATCACGTTGCAGAATGTAGAACAAGCACAGTTAGCTCTTGACGAAACAAATGGTTATATTTTAAAAGATAAGCCTATGGTTGTACAGTTTGCTAAAGTAGGGAAAAGTTAACAAAAACAGTATTTTCTTTTGTACAGTGAGTCAACAATTCTTGGCGATTCTCTAAACCTAACGCACATGCATAGTGGCGGTGGTTTTATGTGAAATGGCATACGATGCGTACTGTGACGAATAGCGTACGATCTACGCGATACGTCATTCGCTATCGGACGCATCGTACGCCATTTCACATAACACCACTGCCGCTGCGCATTTGTGTTAGTTCTCGAGAATCGGCAAGAATCGATTAGACTCACTGTGTGTATATTATATAAATCATATTCAATAATATTTTTAATAAAAATCAAATAATTTTTATATTTCCCAATATTTCTTATTTTATGTATAGATCTATAAATTATTATTTCAAACAAAATAAAATTATTTGCTTCGAATTCATAATATATTTGCATTTATGAAAACTTCATCAGATAACTCGTAACGTGGATCTTCAGATTAATGCGGCGAAGTGATTAAATTCAATACTTTCTGCGTTGAATAATCAAAAATTTGTACAATAAATTACTTCTCCGCTACAGATAAATTATAACCGTTAATTTAATAATGTCTACCTACATCAATACGTGTGAATATATCGTTTTTATCAATATAGAAACTTTTACGTATGCGGAAAATTAAATCTCGTTTGATTTACTTAGTGGCATGTCATAGCCGCGTCAGCGGAGATCGGCGCCCGCCTGGCATCCAGTAATTCGTAAACCTCTCGCTAGAGTGCTATGTTTTGAGTTGTTCGATCTGTACCGTGTGCGTTAAGCGTCCGGTTCACCGATCACTGTCGAGTTGTAACCGTATGTGCTGTCGCCGTCACTCTATTGCCGTCCCTCATTTCCGTCGTCGGTCTCGCACACGTTGACACGTCCTTTGTATTGCCATGGACGTCAGCTTGCTCCTTCAGCACTCACAATATGCGTTACCCGTGGGTATCGTGCTTATATGTGCGATTCTCGTTTTCGTCTTTGGCTTCAAGAAGGCCGAACAACCACCTTTTGCACACCTTTCGGTAGGCTCCGATGTGGACCGGAAATTTGCCAACAAGAAACGCAGCAAAATCAAAGAAAAGGTTAGCACAACAGTGATTGAATCAAATAATAAATCTTCTTTTTTTTCGAATCATCTGACATTGTAAACGCAATGTTCTATATTGTTTAGCCTCCATATGGTTGCTTATTTGTTGCGAATAGATGCACTTACACACACACCATGCACACATGGTTGATAATCAGCTGGTATCGTTAGTTAAAAAGAGTTATTCACCACTGTCTTCCTCAACGTGTAAAATGTTATTCAATTATGCACATGCTCTTTAAAATGAATACTTTTATTCTTCTTTCACATTTTCTGTTATTTTCCGTTATGTCACGATATACGCGTATTCGTTTCCAGATCTTTAAAAATTTCATTAAACCGTGATAACTTTTCTTGTCTTCATTCGTGTTGTAAAAAGCAAAAATTTTGGAAAAATGTTATTATCATTGTGAGTTTATTGAAGCAGTTTATGTGTATTACAGAGGTCTGCCAATGGTCAAGTTGCAATTGAAAAGACAAGTCCTGTTAAAAAAACTGTATCAACAAAAACAGATACTTCAAAAAAAACTACTTCTAAATCAGATGATATAGAAGGAAAGTTGAAGGAACGTAAACAAGAGGATAATAATATTTCAGTGACTAAGAAAGACAAAGATCAAATTGTATTAAAGGCTGGTAAAGAAAACAAGGTTGAACAAGTTAAGAATAAGAAAAATTTAAAGAATTTGTACCAAGAAAAGCCAGTTGATTTTGATGAAGGTAAGTTTTAAATGGATTTTTTGTGAATGTTTACTGACAGTGCCCTATATCAACATAGATTTTGTATTTTAAACATAGGAGATTGGGAACAAGCTTATTCTAGAAAAGATAAAAAAAATAAGAAAAAGGAAGAGGAATCTCCTTCAAAGAAGAGCAAAAAAAATATCAAGAAGGCTGATTTAATTAATCAAGAAGTTGCTAAACAAAAGGTGTCAGAAAAAGTAGAAATTAAAGATAAAGTTGTTAAAGAAACAGAAAATAAAGAATTAAAAGACAAAGATAAAAAAGATGTGATACTTACAGCTATTTCTAATGAAGAAATAACTAAGGAAAAAGAACCTCAAAAGGAAGAAGAACAACCTAAGGTATATTTCAAGTGTAAACATTTGTTTTAAATTTATTAATTCTAGATACTTACTATTGTACTAATTAATATACATTTTTATTTAAGAATGAAGAAGTGGGGAAAGTGGAAAAAGTAGAACAAGTAGAGCAAGTGGAGCAAGTGGAAAAAGTAGAAAAGGTGGAAAAAGTGGAAAAAGTAGAAAAAGTAGAAAAAGAAGAGAAGAAGAGTGGAAAGTCAAAGAAAGCTAAGAAGGTTTCTGAAAATGAAAACACACCTGTAGTGATTCCACCTGTACCAAAAGTAGATAATAAAGTCCAAGAACAAAGAACAAAAAAGAAAGATGACAATACAGAGAAAGATTCTGATAATTCTGAAGAAAAAAATCCTCAAAATGTGCAAACACAAGAAAAGACTGGTCTTGTCTTTGATGAACTAGGAGGTAATTGTTTAATTTAATATCAAATGTTTTAATATTTATGTAAATTTCAAGATTAAAGACATTAAATGTTTTTTTAAATATATTTCAGATGTCTGGACAGAAGCCAAGCCTCAAAAGAAAAGTAAAAAGAAAGCTCGTAAAGATAACTGAGAATGATTAAATGTAATGAAAATTATGTTCCTTGTGAAGAGGAATAGAGTGAGAATCCTGCTTGGTCCAAACGACATGTGTCATTTCGGACTCATCAGGTGTGTTTTAAGTGACTTACCAATCAACCACCTGACCAAACTGTTCCTTTCCCTTGTATATAATGCTAATTGGACTAGGTTGTTCAATCATTTACGTTTTATAGACTTCATGACTGCGGATGCATAAGTTGATGTATGGAGAAACAATCATAGGCTATTGATTTTTTCAACATAGTAATTGTCTGCTTTAACAAAGCTGCCTTGCATTTAACGAAAGAGGCATAAGTCATCATTTTCACCATGAAATAGCTATTCTACACATCATATTCTTTTAGGAATCTTCATATAAGTTTACAATGATATATTAGTATTGTATGAGTTACAGTTGCATCTATAATACATATTTATGGGAGTCTGATGTTAAGCATAAATTGTTAATAAATAGTACTTATGTCTTTTACGTTTCATCCAGAAATCCTAGGGAGAATGTTTTATTAGGTTAGTTTGCAATATATATGTTCGCATTCACGTTATTAATGGTTTGAACATTGACTTTATCTGATCCATTATAATTAATTTAAATGTTATACATGCGAACGGTTGAAAGCCAAAACTTAGAAAGTATGAGATATATCCCAAAACAATAATGAGGTGCAGGACAATCTCTTATGGAGAAAGTTTGCATTACTGATGTACATGTCTTTTTCAATGTAATGAGAGAAATATTTTCTTATACTTGATAGCGAGTAATTTATTCCAGCATATAGATTCAAAATTATATGTTTTATAATAACGAACTATATGCAACATTTCGTCATAAAAAGTACATCAGTAATGAATTTTAAGGATTGATATGTATTTATAAGGACATGTGAATTTGTAAGAAAATTTGTGCCAAGCTGTGAAAAATATAAGGTACAGCGGAAGTTACTATACAATTACAAATGATTAATTAAAACAAATGGGTATAATTTAAATAATTGACACTTATTATTTATTTGTTTGCAATATATATTGTATATATATTATTTTTCAATTATGAGAATTTATGTAGTGTGTATAAGTATATACGACAATTTAAAATGTTTAAAACATTTAAGTCATACCTAAAAATCTTAATCGGACAGTTTTATTAATCATTACGTTATAAAATAAAAACGAATTATATACTGACCTTCCAAGTACCTAGATATATTTAATAGAAAGAAAGATATTGCTCTTTGTCAATGTTATTATTTCATGCAGAAAAATGATTCTAATGAAACTCAACAATTTGAAATAAATTTTACGAACGAACGCGATTAAATAATTATATTGGTTTTAATTTTTTACGAACAATCTAATCCAGCCGTTCACATTTAATGCCATGTATAGAATATAGCGAGTATATCGATTACACATTAAAAAGTTGTCTGAAATAAAATTCATATAATGACGGTTATATATAAAACTCTATAAGAGCAGTAATGTCTTGAGAGAAAAGTTAGATATCAAGGATGTATTTGAAAAATATTTAAATTGAGTACTATATTCAGAGTTCTTTGGCTTCTATTTTCTGAGAAAATGAAAAAAAATTCAAATTGGAAAGTGACGTCAGTTGCGATTACTTTGTCGCGGATAAATACATTATTGTAATAATTAATGTAAACAACATACTATAACATCATTTGCTCGAAACAATTTATTAATTAGTGTTATATGTTAATATGTAAAGTTTCGGTAATTAACGAAAGGATAAAGGAAGATTATTTAGAATGTATGGCGAATGAAATATTGTGATAAGTATACTGTATACCTGAGCGTTACATGAACGTTGTAAAATAGTACTATTAAATAATACTATCGTTTATAGCTTTTACTTATAAAAAAAAAATGAAAAAAATATCTATTTAAATAGCTATTCATATTTTGTACTTTTATCCTTAATATATTTTCACAAAATGTTCATTGTAATTGTATATTTGCTGCTATATATGAAGCATTAACGATTTTAGTGTTTCACATATTTTTCGAAATTCTTTGTTACAAAATATTGATATCCACGAAAGATTTCTTTATATGAAAACAACTTTCGAACGAGCTTCAATTAATGCTGCACACTGTAAAAATGTGTGAACCACGAAGCATTATTACTATATAAAATCAAATGAAACAACAATCACTTGTATCGGATGTGTCCCTTTCGCGTGCCAAAAGTATATTCTACACTTTGCTAAAGGCAACTGTTGTACAATCATTTTTGGTAGTGAAAAAAGGAAAAAAAAAGATTAACATTCATCTCTAATTTTATGTAACAAAGAGACTATGATCTTATAATTTCCCCATTCTGTGCATCAGTGTCCAAATGAATTGTTTCAAGTATTTAATCAATTAATGTAAAACGTATAGAATGTATAAAATTGTTATAGTAACATTATGATCAGTGTTGGAGTATACATATACATATATAATTTCCCTTGCTCATACCAGTTGCTATAATATATTTAATTGCTTCAAGTAGAAATGGCACTAAGACAAAAGATATAGTCCTTATTTTATTTCTATTACACTTATGAATACAACAAGCATCACTTAAATAATTCACATTACTGTGTATTCTATTGACATTCAGTGTCAACTGTATTCAATTTGTACATTTAAGTGAACAATTAATTGAGCAAAGCTGAATTGTATTTATTATGATTACATTACAAACGATAACATAATGTTGCAGTTCAACGCTGGTCGTAAGAAACATTCATATTTATCAAATAATTATTCAAGTACTTAAGTTTAACAATCGGAACAATTTGAGCAGCTGCCGAATCATGCGGTCTAGGTATTTAACATTACCATATTTTTATATACAATATAATATTCTTCAAGTCACTAACTAGCATGATGATACAATGATAAAAAAAAAGGTGAAAGCTTCATTCAGCTAACAAGTCTGGAAATTAAGGGAATTTTTAAACACGTGTTAATAGAAGGATATTATATTTTGAATAAGATTTATATGCTCTTTACCGACGTCTATTCGAATAACTAAATATCAGTGCAAATTACTAATGAAACTCTTGCTGTAGCAAAATCCTAGTAAATATCACATACAAAATTAAATATTGATGATATGAAAAAAAAGGTCTTTCCAAGATAAACTAAACTGAAATTTCATTATACTGATTATAATTGAAGAAGTATTATTGCTATTGTACATATGTATATTAATCAGCAATGTTCTTTCTAATTAAAATACATATATGTGCAATTTTATTGTATACTGTGGTGGTAGTACATTAAAAAAAAAAAAAAAAGAAATAGCAATCGAATAACATTGTCTGTATGAATAAGATTGTGGAGATATTCCAGAAGTGTCGATCAGTGTCCAATGAAATTAACAAAGGTTTTACAATATATGTTTTTATTATCTTCTGCTAAATCAAAAACTTTTTATAGACGACTAACTTTGAAACACAAAAAAAAATAGAAACGTAAAACTTTGATGGCCTAACGCTTGCAATATTATTAAACTGAGAATGATACTCCCGGACTCTGATCATAATTAAGATAACGAATGTAGTATAAACGAAACTAAGTACAGGATATAAATAAATTTAGGATATTATTCCGTGAAGCAGAAATGTCATGATTATTTAAAATGTATTTTATTCACCAAAAGTGTTGTAGCTATTAATATTACGATACTGCATAAATATATTTGTGTAAAGTGCGTGTATTTCGGTCAGTTTAAATCTTATTATTATTATTATATAGCGTACTATTTAATGTTAAGATAAAAAAAAATTAATATAAGCGAAGTTTTCTTTAAAAATCAATGGAAAAAATATAATTCAAGAGAAATATTTTGTCTCCGAATGTGCGATTATTATAAATTTTCGTGGCATGTAACAAAATCTGCAGAACATAATTATGAATTTAAAATACATCAAAATCCAGTAATCGATATATAATAGATAAGGAAACAGAATATTTCTTGCTTTATGATTGACTTTTGGTTGTGACATTTGTGGGATAGACGTATAAGAAGCAGAAAAAAAAGAATGGATCATAAAGTAAACGAAACAGGTGAAAAAAAAGGTAAAGAAAATGAGGAATAAAAATTATATTTTTCCAACATTCAGTTGCAACCATTCATTGCGCCCACCCGATAGTTAACATTATAATATGTTGTACATATTTAACTGTCACTACATATTTGAATGCTGTATAAGAGTGGCTAGTTCATTCCGCGCTAACAGTTTTAATAACAAAAAATATATCGTTTGCAGGGACCACAGAATATAGATAAATAATAAATATATAGAATTTCGTTTTTCATTTTACTTTTTCATCGATCATTCCTCCATCATTTTCTTTTAACTTCTACGTCTTACATTAATTATTTATATCACTTACAATTCTACAATATTTATATCATCGATTAATCTACTTGAAAACATAATCAATAGTATTATAACAATTATGTTTTGCATTTAGGATTATCATATTTTGCTTTATATTAAAAACAATCGCACACACAAATTCATTTTAGTAATCACGAATGTACAAAGTTTAATTTTTGTGATTACTTTCGAAATCCTTTCTTAGTGTATTTACTGCACTTTCTTTTAAATGGTTTAACTGGCTTTGAATCGTTCTCATCGTCTTCAATTTTGCCTTTATTACTTTTTCTCCCTAAATCGTTGCCCATAGATTTCTTTGTTTTGCTCCGAATTAATAGTCTGCCACTTCGTTTAGGTGTTCTACTTTTACTCTTTATCCTTCTCTTTCTTTTTCGCTTTTTCTTGCGATCCAAATTAGCTATTATCGCTTCAGTGTCGGCGGACACTTTCACTTTCGGTTGTTGAATTGCAACAGCAACCCGCACATATAAATCGTAAAGAACATCGCCACAAGACTCACCGAAACAATATTCTTCCTCACAGTCTGCACAAATCTTTACGCTACTTTCAATTATACCTGCCCGATTTTTGCTACGTCTAATAGGGCTTATAGTCGATCGTCGTTCTTTGGTAATTGTTTTTACTTCCAGTTTTCCCATTTCCACCTAAGTTGTATAAAATATTGTGTATATAATTTTCATTATTTTCAATATCGATTTCTAAATAAACTAATATGAGAATGTAGATAGGCATGTTTAACTGATTAAAAGGATGAAAAGAGATATGATCTTTTAATCATTACTGAATATATTTAAAAGTTAGTGTTGATTACGGATTAACAAAGCATGGAATAAAATGAATACCAATCTAGAAAACATTTCCTCATCTTGTCGATGCTTTGGTCTGATAGGTGTTAACATTCGCCAGTCAATAGCAACCTGTTGCAATTCGTAAAGATTTAAACCTCTCATATCCGGAGGTATTGGATTTCCATAGTTCCATTCTTTTCCAAGTGCTTTTAACTCCTTTCTGGTTGGTTTCCAGGAAAATTCTTTATCACGTACTTTTGCATCGTCCTTTTTCACCTGTATTCATAATTTTTACAATAACTACAGTACAACATTCTTTTCTAAATTCATTTTAATAATCATATATTTTTTAACATTTTGTTAATTATACGTAATTGCAAAGAAAAAGGTGAAGTTACTACGAAACATTCACACCTTTTCTGGTTTAATTTTAAATTCGGGGCAGTTTTCAAGAAGTCGTCGGAACTCCTCTTGAGAGTTGCAGGTTGCTTTGCTTAGGTCAGGTAATAAATTTGCATCCTTCTTATCTTCTTTCAGAAGATCGTCCAGCTGGAAGGCCATTATTTACATCTGCAATTAAAGAAAAATACTCAGATCTTATATCCCAACACGTAAATTCATTATTCCTCCTTCATCTCATACTCTCTGTGCAATCTCACTTTCTACAAAAATTAAACGAAAGAAAGAAAAATGTGCGGAGAAACGCGGCTGTTTGGTATTCGTTAAAAGATTTCTGATGCGACGGGAGAGACCAGGCATCTCTCGGAATCCCATTCTATTTGTTTCATTAGAAGACCCTAAAAAGTAGATACATTTAAATTAGACACCGTTAAATTCGTTTTCTCGTCCATTTACTTGGTACACACGTACGTTCTTCAAAGTAGATAGCTTAGATAAAATTTCTTGTCCGCACCAGACATTAGAATTATCATTTCGTGATTCTTTAACATTATCAGCCTCGTTAAAACAATCGTTTTCTAATCGAGTTTTATCATTTTGTTCGTATTTATTCTCAACGATGATTCGTCCGTTTTTATCTGTTCGTAATGGTATAATGGAATTCAGACTATCCATTGAAAGATCTGCGTCGTAACTGTCGACTTTTACTTTCGATCTGTTTAGTGTTCGAATTTTCGATTTGACATTTATAAATTTTCTTCTGTCAGGAGATGGTGATCTATTTAAAAAGAAAGAGTATATGATCTATCGTAACATTCTTGATGATAAAATTAATAAGAACTAATTATACCTTGAACGTTCATCGCTTGATTCAACCTGTCGTCTTCTCATTCGCAATCGTCGTTGATAATGAGGGTCCTTTTCACTTTGCGTGCGATATCGTGTTCCTGGTCTAAAATAACATTCGAATTATTTGAACATAATTCGTAAAGTGTTATCATATATTACCGATTAGCGTTCCACTGTGGCCTAGATTCGATGCCTCTTCTAACTTGAGATTTTAATCGGGGCAGAGTTTTCACGGTGATTTCGTCCGTCAAACCGACATTAACACACCTTTTAAATTAACAAACGAGCAATGCTTGTAACATTTAATAGTATTCCAGCATTTCATGATAGTGTCGGAACAGTGAATATTTGCATATTTATTGATATTAAAATATGTACAAAGGAAACGGGTATAATTTGCAACAATAAGTAATGCGTGTTCATGCAAATAAACATACAGTTGATACAAAAAAAAAGAAAAAATAATAATTAAAATAACTGTATAATATAATAGAATAAGATGTATAAAAAATAGAATTTCGAGAAACGAAATGAAATAATAATTACCGCTTCTATTTGCAAGACAGAAGAATAATATCCTCTACGACTCTTCAAGTTTTCAAGTGATTCAATGCATCATATTACCGACTCACTTTTCAATGTCCCTTTTACTAGCATTTGTTGCATCCTTGCGGTCCTTTATAGAGCTATCCTTCACATTTGAGTCCTGCACTTTCTCCCGAAAATCCTGAAGATCGTTCTCTATATCTGTCTGCGTCCCAAAATCTCGACCGTTCATAACTCTGTACTTGCTTGGCGTCAACAATCTGTTCTCTACGATGTTCGATGAAATTCTGGTGGTGTTTGGACCGATGTTCGAATTTCCTATGTGCTGTATTAAAGTATTCAAGCCTACAGTTAAATTATTGCTCGAATTATGTTCTAATTTTCTCGGCGTTGGAGTTAGTACCAAATTGACTAATTGTAAATTTGCTTTGTTCAGTAATTCTGAATCTTCGAGTCGACCACTCAACACGATCGCCACATCTTTGCTAATAGGAACTTGAACTGATTCCACATCGTTCCCATCTTTTTCCGACTTTTCCGACGCGTTGTTATTATTACTATTATTATTGTGCGTTTGATTATTGCTATTATTGTTACGTTCTTTTTCATTCAATGCTTCACCTTTTTCTTCGTCCTCTTTCTCTTTAACATTATCATTGTTAAAAGTGACGTCCTTTTGAGTTCTTGCACTTAAACAATTTTGATCGAACTGACTTTCGTTCGAGACGTTTGATTGACAATCCCTAGAAGATGCAATGGTATCTCTCATGGTATCTCCATCGTCGCTTTTTTCACATTTACGCCGAAACTTTTTTTGCTCTTTCGCTAAACGTTCCGCCGCTTCTAAAACCTCGCGCATCGCTTCGGCTTGCCTCAATTTAGCAGTTTCTCGTTCTTTTACTCTTCTTTGTTCCTCTTCGAACCTGAACGTAAAAACAATCTATCATTGATTAATCGAGCTTGAACTATAAAGATATCTATGTATAACTATTCGAATAAATTTACACCTCTCCTTCTCTTTTTCTCTTTCTCGTTCGATTCGTTCTTCCTCTAATCGTTCTTCCCTCAATTTTCGTTCCTTCTCTTCTTTCCTCAATCGGTCCTTCTCCTCCAGTTGCTTTTTAATCGCTGTCTGAAGTTCTAGAGCTTTTTGCCTCTTTACTTCTCGTTCCTGAAGAATGTCCGCGTCGACGGGAATATTTTGGCCGCGAAGATAAGTCTTATTATCAGATCCAATCGAGCCTATCGTTGAACTATCCGAGCTGCTCGCACTTTCGTGATTGATTACCAAAACCTTGGATAAACATCAATGACGAATTACAAAAATGTTCGAATGCAAAGGATTCGCACCGTTTCTTTCCTCTCAATTATCTCAACTTAACGTTAAAAAAATTCTAAAAAATTCCGAATTATACTAGGAGTTTCTGTACAATCGTACTTGACTCGAGTGTCCTAATCTCGCCAGCCAAGAAGGTGGTGGCGGATCTCCTCGTGCAGTCTCCTGACCCCAGACACTGCCCCACCTTGGCCTATTAAGTTCGCCTATTCTCCCGTCAGATAATCTCCTCGACGGTGGCAACGAACTGTCAGGTGTCGTGTGATAAGGATTCTGCCATGTTTTCTCGGCCATTTCTGCTCCTGGCGGCTTGCAACCGGGCAGCAATGCTAAAATAAGCGAAAAAATTGTTACTTAAAATTGCATAAATTCATTGGAATTCCTCTAACAATTTTTTTTTTTTTGCATTTCAATTATTCACATTTTATTATTTCATACATAATGATTATATATCATATTAAATCTTCAATTTTCAAATTCTACAAGGTAACTAACTGCCTTTTGCCGATACAGGTATGTCTACGGAATCACTGGCGTAACCGGAAGTCTCGCCTTCGCGTTCTTCGCCCTGCGAAACGTAATGATTGTTCTTCGAATTCTCGTAACGATCGTAGGTTCGATGATCTTGTTGACGTTGAGATTTCTCTGAATTGTACTGCAATCCTTCTGTGGCGAAATCTCGTTGTTGACCCTAGAATATGAAGAAAAAAATATAAAAACGAATCTGTTCTATAAAGTAAGGCAAAAGAATTCGCGTGACGAATGAGTAATTTCCTAGTTTTCATCAATCTTCAAATCGTGCTTCCTTTAAACATGCTTATATACATGTACATATATACTCTGTAACGTATATACACACGTATACATTGAATACGATTACTGTGCCAGTACGAGACAGGGGCGACAAACCGTAACAGGGTTCTGTATCGACTTTCAAGATTTATAACTCCTGCCAGCTATCTTGACGTACCATTAATCGCAAATATAAATTGCATTATGTACTTTTAATAAATGGCCTTAAGGGTAAGTGTGGTGCAATAGTTTCGTGACACCGAGAATGAAGTATTCTCGGAATAAACATTTTCTTCACGCGAGGGAATTTTAGGTTTGTGAAGCAATTACATTTCGCATAACTGAAAAAAAAATGATAACCTTAATATTGCTCTATTCGGTAAAATTACGTATCTCTTCGAGATTTGTAAAATAATCGATTAAATCAATTATTAATATAAAATAATTGTTAAACGATATTTTATAAATATCCGATGTTCCAATGTGAACAATTAAGGTGTGTAATTTTTAAAAGAAACCTGGTCACTGTAACTTTTACGTATACATTGTACAAGGGGTGGCCATAAGGTGAGTGAACTTTAGCTCCAAGATAAGAATCGATTCGCCAGACTGCCTTACTTTTGCTTTCCCCTCACGAATAAGGCACGTATACCTTTCAACACAGCCGCAAGACAGCAATTAAAAGCACGTGCTCATTTGTTATTCTGCCACCAGATACAACGGCTATTAGAACAAATTGTATACATTGAATATTCAAAAGTAATCTGTCACGAGTGATATACATAGTAGCATAATAGCGTAGAAAGTGGAGTAATGTTACAGATATTCTCAGTTTCACCTTTTCACATCGAAATTAACCTGAGAAAATCTTCTCCCCCGTTGTTTAAATAACAGTAAAAAAAAAAGACCTGATAAAAGAAAAATGTACACTGGTTTAATATTACTATATTCAGCAATCTTACAAAGTTCATCGTTCCAAAGTTACGTATACCGTGCACACGAACCTGGCTGAGATATTGTTGCTGATCCTTGTTGTAAATTGGCGGCAGGCTCGGACTTCTGTGCCTGATTTGCGACACTTCCGGTTGCTCGTGCAGATTTATCAAGCTACCACCATTGCAGTCCAGACACTTTAGACTCGTACCGCCGTTTCCGGAACTCTCTGTCGCCAGACTCTTCAGGCTGACGGTGCTTCCGTAATGTTCAGTAGCACGAAAAGGTTTCGAGGACGATTGCTTATCCTTCGTTTCCGCCAAGGACATTCTCGTGCCGCTCGGATAGGTTCTGCGTTACGCGTTTATATTAACGTACCGTAGGATAGGAACAGCTTGATTTACAATCGGGTCGATATACATATAACCACCGTTTACTCGGCTTACGAGCACGATTATTAGGTGTAACTGGTTTAATGAATTAGGCACGAGTACCTTGACCTTATTCGAGGAGGGGGGAATGGGTGTATGAGATGTTCTTCGACGATTGAACCAAGTTCGTAAAAGCGTCGATGTTTTGTTGTTGGTATTGTAGCTTACGTGTGATTGTTAATTCGTTTGAATACCTCTGGTTTAACCACGTTCGACGTTCGAGTGTCGTTTGAAAATGTCCAATTCCAAAAATGAGTATTGTGTTTGTTTAAATGAATAATTCCTTAATTTCTTTCCTCCGTTTTAACGTGTGTCGGTTGAAGAACAGCTGTAGTATTTGAAATTCGTTGAAATAGATTAGTTGTTATTTCATAATTGTTACGTATATATTTCTAAGTTTATCTGTTTCATGTTTTTTCATTTTTAAATCGATTATTTTCGTGAAAATAATAGTATATTCAAATTGATAATTAATGTTTTTGTTGGTTATACTAATATTTTTTAGTTAAATGTTTATTTATAAGGATGACGTAATAGTTTAGGTTATTTTAGTATTTTTAATTGTTTTACGGTGGATGTGTGTAAGTATGCATGGTGTTTTGAATGAAAAAATTAAAATGAATAAATCTGTCATGGCGTTTCCCTCCTGTATTATTTCTAGCACTTGATACTTACCGGATATTGGTGCGAATATTGATGTTATTCTTGAGAAGTCCCCAACTTCCGCCAAGACGTGCCATTTCTTCTATAGTATTCGTATAAAATATTAATTTCCCGTGCAATATTACCACATTCTCATACTAATATACTCATACCATATTCTCATATTTAATTCAAATATGGTCGTAGATGAACGTTATTTACGTCTTATCGATTACTTGTATTAAGATTTCACGCGGTCTTGTATATTAAAGCAGTTACAATTCCATCTAAATTTACTGGAATTTCAACAGAGACGACAACACGCGATGTGTTATTTTCGCGTGTCGTAAATTCTCCGGTTTCACGTTTGAACATTTCTCAAAGATCAAGATTATTTCGAGGAAATCTCCACAATACATACGTTGGATCATTTGAACTTTCGGAATTCCGAGACTTACCTCTCTCTCTCGCCCATTGGATCCTTTTTTGTTCCACTAGCGACGTTCTCCCGAACATGTTGGCGCGCGACGCGATTTGCGCGAAAAAGAAATATGCACGGTCGGTAATAACGTGTACGGTCAAGTACGCAAGGAGAGAAAAAAAAATAAAGAATACCCTACATCATCCAATCTTCACCTAACTCGCGGCAATTTTACCTATTCCGCCGTTTTCTGCAGCGTTGAACCATTCGGGTCTTCCGGTACGTCACAACTTCCGGCGCGGAACGTTGGGTTCGAAACCCTTGGATGTCAAAAGACGTTGCACGGGTTCATCGCAGGTCGTGTCAATATTTGAGACTGCGGTAGGCCTGCACAAGACTGTACAAGGTTTACCTGACACTTACACACATATGTATCTGCGGCCCGTATTAAACTCGAAAGGAACGCGCGGTCGCGATTCGATCGCAGGCTACGTTTCTATGGGAACAATCGTGAATCAACCACGGAACCTCTTACACTATTGTCAGGGTCGATAATATTGACCAGACAGGGGAGATAAGGGATAATGACCTCCAACCGTCTATTTGACGGTCAGAGATCACATCATTGACAATAGAACGTGAATGTAGATATATAATTGTGAAGATAAAATGACCGTGTTACTACTGATATCGTACACACGATTATAACATAGTTATGTTAATGAAAACGAAAAGATGTTGCACGTTACGTATCTTGCAACATATGAATTAAATATAAACTTATATGATAAATATAAGTGACATTTTTTAAATATAAGTAACTTTCTCTGAACTTTCCCTGTTCAAATATATACATATGTAAATATTTATGTATGTAACAAGAATAAACGAAGCTTTCTTTCATTTTCCTGCAAACGAGATACATATTTAAGAATGATAAAATAAATAAAGCATTGATTAGATCAGACACCTAGAAGACTCGCGAACCTTATGCTTGTTATCATATTCATGTCACATCCAACATTACCGATTCAGTGTAGATTAATATTACAGTAGTACATAGTAGTAATTGGAATAAAAACTAGGTGTGATTATGACAGATGAGGTACAGAATTCTACACCTCACCTATTTTAAAATTAAATTTTTCAACAGAAAGAATTAATAGAATTTTTTAAGGTTTTT